AAATAGGGTAACTTCAGAGAACAAAAGAATCCGCACCCCTCCCCTGTCCCCTCCGATCAAAGTTGGGGTGTTTGTTGTTTTCTATAGGTAGCTAGAACAAGGGCACAACATTGCACGGAGGGGATGGGGGAGGAAAGCTATATTTCCTCCTTTTGAAGTTAATAAAACGTAAAAAAGCCCAGTTTTGGGCAAAGTGTCTCAACTCATTTTGTCGCCGATTGTCTGAATCGAAATCTACGCGCTGTTGTCTTATTAGCACCGGTTAGGAGACGGTAACTAGTTGAGATTACTATATTCACCAGGTCGTTTTTCAGAAGATACATAAGATACCCATATAATCCCTTTCCTGTGTTTTTCGAGGGAAAATTAGTTTTGACAATCTTTGTACTCGGTAGTGTTTTCAAGTAATTACGCAGCATACCCACGTACCGAATGATTGATTTTCCTCTGGTAATTAAGTGTGATCGGTAGGAATCGATGGCAGATAATATATTGTATTTGAATATATCCCTAGTAAGTTTGAAGTGTTTATTCGAAGTTTGGCTATTTGATAAGGGTGGGATGGACGATAAAATAGCCATGATTGCTATGCGCAGGAGAATTTTCGGGAAAAATGTTCCAACTTCTAACGCACAGCAAAGCTGCATAGCATCGCTAAATTTGTGCAGCAGATTCATTGCCCATATAGCCATAAGGGTCTTTGAAGAATGTACTTTACAGTAGAAACTATGAGGTCAGGAGGAGACTAGCCACGAGTAACCACGAGTAACAAACTTTGTTCTTAAAAGATAATCCGATTATTTGTTTTATACTCATCGTGGTTACTCGTGGAAATTCCTCCTAAAGAGCAATTTTAGCCATTATAACTACTTTAATGCCTAGAAATCTGTTAAGTTTCCTATCCTTTTCACTTTGTTCTTTGCTTTGATGCGTTTCGATAAAGAGGAGAATAAGAAATCGTGTGCAACGCGCCACATCGCACGATGTGAAGGCACGGTAAAGCCTGACACGAAATGTCACGCACTGAAAATAACGAAATCGCCTTATTCTAATTGTTCTAAAACAGGTATGATGAAGTCGAACACCACAAATAAAAAGCCACCAGGGGTCTTACATCCCAGCATAAAGAAATGAATTCAATTAACTTTCTAAAGGACGTACGGCCACTTTTGAGATTCAGACAATTGGCGACAAAATTGTTGAGACATTGTACTTAAATAGGGTAACTTTGGAGAACAAAAGAATCCGCACCCCTCCCCTGTCCCCTCCATTCAAAGTTGGGGTGTTTGTTGTTTTCTATAGGTAGCTAGAACAAGGGCACAACATTGCAAGGAGGGGATGGGGGAGGAAGCTATATTTCCTCCTTTTGAAGTTAATAAAATGTAAAAAAGCCCAGTTTTGGGCGAGGTGTCTCAACTCATTTGGTCGCCGATTGTAGCTAAAGCTTGCCCGAATGGCAAGCTGTAAAACTGACTTTCTTTGCACAACGATTTTGAGATTGAAGGAACATAATAAAAAAAAACAACAACAACATGTTTCTCATCCCTGTCCACTTCTAAATTTGCTTCCTTGCAAACAGGTACCGACAAAATCCACAGGAATAAGCCAAATAAGAAAATCATGAGAGTTTTCAGGCAGGCTTAATCTTAAAACAAGGCATTTATTAAATACAAGGTCCTATTGACATTTCCAATGCACCCTAGCTACCTATTGAGATATAATGTATGACGAATTAAGTTTTTGTTTTTTAAAGCGTGTATCAAATTTGTGTATAATAAATATTTGTCGTTCCACTGAATAATATTGCACTAAAAAACTCCGAGCTGCTCCAAGGTATTCCTGGAGATAAGTAATAACTTGTCAAGAAAGCATCCAATTATTGGAAATAATAAAAGTGTTGGAAATAATAAAAAATAGCGCCCTATAGAAGCTCCATTTTTTTGTAGGAACCCGAACGAGAAACAGTTGTTCTTAACTGAGCCTCAGCTGCGGGAGCCGAGAGATGGAGAGACATAGGGCGCGATCCATTCAACCAAAATTCCAACCGGTCCGACCGGGAAAAGAGGACCACCTCAAAAGGTGGACCCGTTTTTTCGAAACTTTTCCGGTTGGACCGAACCGATCCATTGAGTTTTGGACCGAAATTTCCGGAAATTTTGGTTGAATGGATCGCGCCCATAGATATCCACACGGGTTTGCACCGTTTTACGAAAATCGGTCAGAGTTTTTCACAAATGAAAAAATTTTTCAAGAAAAAAAAATCTCCAAGTTAAAATCTGGCCAATATCCTGACTGAATGACTGAGAAACCCAGGAAACGTGACCTCAGGCAGTAAAAATCCAAAAACATTTCACCGGGGTGCATGCCCCTGGACCCCACTAGAAGCTTACGCCTTCGGCGCTCGTTTAGCAAAACGGTCCGCATGAACTTATCCTAGATCCGCGCCTGTATTGAGTGCACTGTTGACACAACTTTTTCATTTAAGGTGATCAATTAACGTCTTCACTGACTAAAACGCAAAAGGGTCAGCCTATTTTGAGTGCTCAAGCTGCGAGGTATTGCGGTAGGAGGGAGTCGTCCGCACAAACAAAAAGCTTCGAGCAAGTCACGTTCCTTGTCTCGAATACTTTCTGAATTGAGAAAAAAATGTATTTTTCTGGTTTCACTATAAATAAAAGGTAAAAGCAGATAGTTTTGCGCGTACCTACAGAGGAAATCCTCGGAAACATGGTCCCATTTCCTTCGAAAGTCAAAATAGAGTCACACTGCCGCCATTTTGGAAAGCACTTCAGCAAATTACCTGACCCAGCAGTCTCAGCCGACCAACATTAGATTCCAGTCTACTCGCAGATTTTAAAGAAAAAAGGCGGGAAAAAGCGCACAGTTAAGGTTGCAGAAATGTTGAAGATGCGTCTTTTGGGTTCACTACACGATTTGTTTTTCCAACAACTTCTGCTCAACCGCTTTGACGATTCCACACAACAGACACAACTATAGCGTGACAGCAGCCTAGCTGTTCCTGTTTAGTCAAAAATCTCCTAAAATTTATCATAAATCGCACTAAATTGTAGACTATCATGACTTCATTTCTAACAGTTTTTCCAACCACAATACGCGGAAAAAATCAACAAAGAACGACTTTTCTNGATCCGCGCCTGTATTGAGTGCACTGTTGACACAACTTTTTCATTTAAGGTGATCAATTAACGTCTTCACTGACTAAAACGCAAAAGGGTCAGCCTATTTTGAGTGCTCAAGCTGCGAGGTATTGCGGTAGGAGGGAGTCGTCCGCACAAACAAAAAGCTTCGAGCAAGTCACGTTCCTTGTCTCGAATACTTTCTGAATTGAGAAAAAAATGTATTTTTCTGGTTTCACTATAAATAAAAGGTAAAAGCAGATAGTTTTGCGCGTACCTACAGAGGAAATCCTCGGAAACATGGTCCCATTTCCTTCGAAAGTCAAAATAGAGTCACACTGCCGCCATTTTGGAAAGCACTTCAGCAAATTACCTGACCCAGCAGTCTCAGCCGACCAACATTAGATTCCAGTCTACTCGCAGATTTTAAAGAAAAAAGGCGGGAAAAAGCGCACAGTTAAGGTTGCAGAAATGTTGAAGATGCGTCTTTTGGGTTCACTACACGATTTGTTTTTCCAACAACTTCTGCTCAACCGCTTTGACGATTCCACACAACAGACACAACTATAGCGTGACAGCAGCCTAGCTGTTCCTGTTTAGTCAAAAATCTCCTAAAATTTATCATAAATCGCACTAAATTGTAGACTATCATGACTTCATTTCTAACAGTTTTTCCAACCACAATACGCGGAAAAAATCAACAAAGAACGACTTTTCTCATTTTTGACTTGCCACTCTGAGTAGCAATGCTTCCGCGCATGACTGTTAAGTAATAAAGAAGGTCATTGATTAGTTATTGACATTAAGATTAGCTTACCACATGGGTGCGTTATTAGGTTCTTCCAGTAATATAAAGGTCACGGAAACAAGACTATAGCTGTGTTACTTCGGTAGCACATATACTAAAATTGGAACGATACAGAGAAGATTAGCATGGCCCCTGCGCAAAAAAAATTTGGTGTTCTCCTCTGTTTGAGAACTCCAAATTCCACCTGCGAACATGCGCACGACGTGCGCAAATGATATGTTGGGTTTTCCCTGTTAATTGACGGCTTTTCCCCACTAAAACACGTGTAGATGTTCTCTTTGCAGGAAGTTTGCGCGCAAATGGCACAAATAACAATTTTTAATAACTGCAATATCATATACACATAGTTTACTTGGTGCCCGGGGGGGGGGCACTTTAGGAATTTCTGGGTGGGGATGTGCCGCTGGGAGCCTGGAACCCTTAACCTTTACCAGAGCTAGTTCAGCTGAATTTTGCTACCCTATACTAGAGTAAACTCCCCAAATCCCCCTATCCTAGAGTAGCTGTTTCCCCAGTCTAGATAAAATCTTCAACCAACTGATCAGTTTCCTGAAAAATGATACCCTATTCTAGAGCCAAACGCTCTGATTTATATACCCTATCCTAGAGTAAACTGCTTGAAAACCATACCCTTCACAGCGGCACATACCTATATAGCCCATATATGGCAGTACCCCCCCCGGGACTTGGTGAAGCAGCTTATACATAAGCAAACACTGTAAATTGTTAATTAATTGCTTGAGCTTTTATACGATTACTTCTCTTATTTACACTGCAGAGCAAATTAAAAATTAATGATAATTTTTCTGCTCTCAGCCAGTCACAATGAAGTAATTCGCTCAGACTCCTATAATAAGGAGGCTAATTCAACGCTACCAGCAAATAAATTAATTTCAGTATAGAAATGTTTTCTATTCATTTGTTTTCCGTCTTTTTCCCTTCCCCTGTTCTTTCAAGTTTTCCACCCATTCTTCAAAGACTTTGTCCAATTTTTCTCTACACCACAAGTTTCCATAGTACTGTCTATGGTTATCAGCCAGCCGTTCTTTCCCACACTACTTGCAGGTAGTGCCATCCTTCCTGTTGTATCTTTTTCTTTGAACGTTGCCTTCAAGCTCTTTTTGCAGCCGCTTTCTTCTGTAGGACATGGTGGATGACAGTACCTGTGGTTCGGCTGCTGGTATACCTTGGGGTTGGGGAACATGTGTAGTTGTTGATTGTGGCGAGAATAGCACTGCACCAGGAGGAAAGGGCGTTGCCGAAAGGGAGAAGGATGGCAACACTGTCGTGGGTTGATTGGGCAGGATAGTTCGTGGTCTGCGTGCTGTTTTTGCAGCGCCAGCGGCATTTGTAGGAAGATGGAACTGGTGCTCTTCACTTGTACCAGTGAGAAGTTCTTGTGGGCGGGCCATGGCGGCAGGCAACGGAGCTGGTGCTGTCATAGATGGGGTTGGGAGAGTGATCCCTTGTTCCAAAACTTGTCGCTCAGTCTCCTTGGATTTTTTGTTAAACCTTTTCAACCAAAGAAAAGTGGATTTTAATGTGTATTTGGTGAATATAGATTAAAGAATACGTAGCTGATGGGATTTAATGTGGGAGTTTAATGTGTGCGCAGATAAGCGGCCGAGCTAAGAACTGAAATATTTATTCGTATTGTTTAAGTTAACGTACCACTGTGTTAATGTAGACTGATTGATGTCAACCAGCTGGATTGCCGTATCGCTCATCACCTTTGAACACTGCACTACCAGGGTTTTGATGTTTTGGTAGGCTCTCAAGATCAATGTCCACCACAACACCCTATTCCCATTCTGGACCACGTTTCCTGGATAGGCAGCACAAAGTTTGTCGATGATAGCCTGCATATATCTGTTGCAATCAGGTCGCTGGGCAGGGCCAGCGTTTTGACCAAGGAAGCACCTGAAGCAAAATGAAACCATTAATCTTCCGTAGTAATAGAGCAATTGTTGAAATAATACGTCTTCCTAACAATACAACAAATTGGTAAATCTATAATGATTACCGGCGGGTAGCTTCAACTCCAGGAGCAACAGTTGACTTAGAGGCTTTAAACCTCCCTCGAGGTGACGTACTTAAGAAGCGTGGAGAAAATACGGTAGGTCTCTTGTCATAGTCTGACAAAGCAGCCCACAGTTTTAAAATTGTGTCTGCTTGGCCGTTGTCCAGGGGCCTTTCTTGATCACGAAGACAGACAAGATAGTTTGCCAAGTCGTGGACCTCACCGAAACCTTCTATATTTTCTGGACCAACGCATTCCTGTGTGAAGAAAAGAGTAAAAAAGGAAATTTATTTCGGTAAATTTCAAAGGGCTAATCAGTTATTATTATGTATGGTAGGTACTTACTCGAGATGCATCCGAGATCTCGTCAGCGGCATCACAGGAAGATCCTAGTTGAGACGGGGAAGCAGATGAAGTCGATGGGGCTTCCATGAACAAGCCTAGGGTACAGGAAAACTAAAATATACAATCAACACAATTACAAATTTGCTGCTACAACAAGCACTTACCACTTTGTCTGGATGGTGTGTTCAGCCCCATGGAAACACGAGAAGCAGACAAGGGTGTTGTAGAAGGCGTGTTAGAGGCGAAGGATGCACTTAAAGTAGTAGAATCTGGAAAAATAAGTAGTAAGTTTACTGCCTCGTATTTTTGCTTGTAAAGGGACACAATAAATGCCTACCGTGTTGTCGGGGTGTTGTGGTAGATTGACGGGCTGGCTGGTCGATGATAAACTGCGGTGGAGCGATTGTTAGATCGTTAAAGGCAAGGGCCTCATCAAATCCTTCATCATCTGAATTTGTTTTTACTATTGCACCCACACAAGAACAAACAAGTACAACACTTCAGTAGAGGTCACCCAACACGCACAAAGAATCACATATACTTTTCAGACAAATATTTTGCAGAGCTGTCTTTGACTGTACTGACCGGCACATTCGGCTTAATGCAAAACATATAAAATATTCCTACCAAAATTGGCGTTACAGCACGAAAAACGTCTTGTAAAAATGACTTTATGATGACCTCTATAAATCCTGTAAATCAACAGAGCAGAATAACTGAATGAATTATTTATGTGGGTGAAGCAAGAAAATTCTCCAATATAGAAACTATAACTGCAACGATTTCCTTGAATCGATTTTCACTACTTAAACTAATGTTTATTGCTTCTGTAATACAGGTAAAAAGCTCAAAAACATACCTTTAAATGTTTTATTTCTCAACCTTCGATACAGTGTCGATACCACGAGCAATGGGGCAGAACGATAAATTATTCATGAACACGGTCTAGAAAGCCTCCGAATTCCCCGGGGAAAATATCAGCGAATGAACTAACTAAACTCGGATCTGGCTAGGAAAACAGGTGATCTAAACAGGACTAAAAGATCAGCAAGAAAAATACAGTATAACTACGTGACTTTCTCGTTCTATTTCAAACTCACAAGCTACAAAAATCCAACATGGCGGAAGGCTGTAAACAGCACGCAATCGATTTTCCAAATATGGAAGTCCAATTTGGAACGAATTTGGAACAAATTTGGAACTGCAAGCGATTTGATTGGATAACGTAAGCACCGAAGATAAGCAATTTTTAGGCGCAAGGATGACACGCAAATTCGTGAAGCGTTCCAAATTTTTTTTTCTTTGTTGATAACAACTTTTAAACATTTGCTTTTGTTCATGGTCAGCGATGATTTTCAGGCTTTTCTGGACAGATAATTTATGGGAAAGATGGCCTAACAGATTACTTTTATATTTAAAGAAATAAACTCTTTGTAGTTTACATGTGCCTAGAAATTCAGTCAAAGCAAAACCAAAGAAAACATGGAGTTAATGAAGAAATGGCGCAATAATGCCACACGATTAAGAAGAAAGGCGATCAATAATTATTGGAATGCCATATGCGAGGACATGAATAATAACTCAAGAAAATTCTATAACACCTTTACTCCGTTCCTCAGGACCAAACCAAAAGAGGACAAAAGTTTAATCTCTCTTAATATCGAAGGTGTTACACACCAGGACCAGAGGCTTGTGGCACAAGAATTTACCAACTACTTTTGTTCGATAGCTGATCACATTGGTGGGACTGACGTAGGGACTCTAACAGAGGCTCTATGTTATCAACATCATAGTGTCGCGAGCATAAACGCCAGACACGATCCAAATACATTCAGTTTCAGAAGACTGGATAGGAATGAGGTCCTCGCAGCACTGAGAGAAATTAATCCCCATAAAGCAACAGGATATGATATGTTACCTCCAAGAGTACTTAAAATGACAGCAGAACTGCTAGCAACACCACTGACTACTATATTTAATCAGGCTATTGAGGAAAATCGTTGGCCCAGCGCCTGGAAAAGAGGAGAGTGGATCCCGATTTATAAGAAGGAAGACCCCTTAGATAAAGTTAATTACAGACCAGTAACCGTGCTAACTGCGGTTGATAAAATCTTTGAGCAGCTAATATGCAAACAACTAAGTGAAAAGTTTGAGCCAATTTTCGATACCTTTTTGTCAGCTTACCGCAAACACTTCAGCTGCGAAACGACCTTGATACGCCTTACTGAAGATTGGAAGCATGCAGCAGACAAAGGGCATGCATCAGTGATATTATCCACGGACATGAGCAAAGCTTTTGACTCATTACATCCAAATTTGTTACTGGCAAAGTTAAAAGCCTATGGGCTGTCTGACCCCGCTTTGGGATTAATGCGATCTTATTTTGATGATCGGGAAAACAGAACAAGAGTTGGCAACTACACAAGTGATTGGAAAGCTGTCAAACGAGGCTGCCCGCAAGGGTCGAGCAAGCGACAGAAACAAGCTAGAGAGAATTAATGAGAGTCAGAGGACTACGTACAGTCTTCAAAGATCGAGTCTCTCCTTATGGTGACCTTCTTACACACGCTGGAATGACAAGTCTATATAACATGAGATTACAAGATATCGCTATCTTTATGTTCAAAATAAGGAACAGATTACTGCCTTACAACATACTAGAACTCTTCTCGTCATCGTCTTCGAATTACAACCAGAGGAACTCGGACTTCCACGTTCAAAGGGTAAAAACTGTTAAATATGGAAAGCATTCCCTCAGATTTTTTGGGCCATTTTTATGGTCAAAATTGAGTATGAAAGACAGAAACGAGACCTCCCTAAGCAGGTTTAAAGCAAATATAAGGAGAAAAGATCTGAACAAATTGGTTAGTGATAACGCATGCAAAGGGTGCCACCTGTGTGACTCATAATTCATAAACAGGAAATATCATAACTGGTACAGTTGATATATTATGAAATTGTATATATAGTTTTTTTTTCTTATTCATCACATAGGTGTATTTTCGAAGCATATCGAATATCGTGTATCTTTTAAGTAGTTTTTAGAATAGTTAAATCTTATTGGCTTATAGTATTATGAATATATATTTCTTATTAATAAGTTATTTAAGTAGTGTCTCCGATTAGTAGGCCTGACGGCAAGCTAGAAGACTAGGCACTTAAATAAAGTTGTTGATTGATTGATTGATTGATGTACAAACGGGATGAACAAGCTCATAAGAACAAGAATTCTACTTTTAGTTCAAAACGATGAGATGCAGGCATAAGCGTGTTCTGCGTGGACCTGCGTGCCTTGTGTATGCTTGTATCGTTTCAGTTTGCAAACACCAGGCAGGAATGGTCGGTCAATATACCGCATACACTGGCGCCTATAAGTCAGGACCCGCGGAGCAGTTTTCAAAGTGTGGGGGCCAATCTACCTCTTTTGAAGTGTTGTTAGGGGGAGTTGTGGGGTTGTGGACTTTAAAAATGGTTTACCTGGCGCCAATTCAATGTTTTTGAATACAGCTACAACTCTTTTTTTTTTTTTTTAAATAGTTTAACAAACGAGAATTAAAGGAGTTAGTAACAAAAAATGCACAAAACATGCACATGCGTGTAAACATGCACAGCACAATCATAATTTTCGCAAGTTTCATTTACTTCAAAAGTTTGCCCGTCCTTTCCTTGCGGCTGTTTAGAACCTTTCTTTAGTCATTGTTGAATGGAGATATGTTTCAGCTATTTTTAACGTTCGAGATGCCGAAAAGGACCTTTTCCTGCTGCAATGCATATGGTTGCAGGATTTTATTTTACCGGCAGAAGCTAGCAGATCGGGACAATCTCATTTGTCATGCTCTGCTGAGGTAATTCCTCAAACTTCTTGTTCAATTTGTTTTAAGAAATCGTAGCTCCGTAAAGATTTAAGAACCTTCATAAAAAAAGACTCCATTGTTTGTGCATATACTACATCACCTGGCTGGTGAAAACACAGAAGTCTACGACTAAGTGCAGTTTTGTAAATATAGTCGTTTTGAGGCTAACCGTATGATATAAGACCGAAACGGACCAGCCATAAATTTGAAACTGTGTGCTATTTCTTATTTTATATTATTTATTTTTAAAAAAAAAGAGGGAGGGGGGGGGGGGCTGTCATTTATTTAGTGTTCCCTCTTGTAAGCCCCCACAGGTATAAGCTCACCTACCTGTTAACAAAAAAATACATCCGATTATAAGCCTATACGAAAGTTAAGCCATCTCCAAATGTATTGAAATAGATTCGATTTATTATACAAACACAACGAAATACCACGTGAGCTTTCACGCGAAAACTTTATATCTTCGCATGTGAAAATAGTAGCCTTTGACATCATGGTCAATTGACCACTACAGAAAATACCATAACGTACCATGATGCTCTTCGTTTGTCACCCAAAATTTTACATAAGCATTGTTTTGAGCAGGGTCTGAATGGGAGGGTCCACTTGTCCGTTGTCGGTTAAAATTCAGTTAGTTTGTCGGTATTCGGTTAAAACTTTCGATCTTTATCGGTTGTCGGTAAACTCCCCAGTTATTAAGTAAAACGCTTGTTACATATTAATATTCAGGTTGTGTATTTCACCCAGATTCAAGACTCTGATCCCTAACGAAAGAGTAAAACTTGTAAAAATGCGTTATTTGATTGCACCTCCGTTTGCCAATATAGTACAGATAAAATCACCAAAGCTTTTATTGTAAACGCCCACTTGGTTTCCCTGTTGACTAAAGGGCACAGTAAGAGGTAATTAATTAATGGACATAGGGGAAAACGCTCACTCGGCCTTTTGGATACTTGAATTATTTTTAGTGAAAACCTGAAAGGGGTGACTGGCTTCCCATCTATACCTCAACCTCGTCCCTAGGGCACTTTTCCCTGGCTTTGGACCTCCAAAGTCAGGGAAAAGCGCCCTGGGGACGAGGTCGTCTATACCTTTAATATTTTGTCTCTATTAAACAAGCATGTCCTTTGCCATCATTTTCCTTTCTCAAGGAAATAATAGGTGGCTCTTTAAAAAGTTGGTTTTGTATGAGATTCCACTTTTCATTAAAGCTTCTTTTATAATAGAAAC